TTCATGCCAAGGGTATTTTCGGCATTTTGTTCAATGTTGTTTAAATAAAACCCCTTCATTTTCTCTCTCCTTCCCTCTCGTAGGCCCCGACCCTCTCTCTCTCTCTGTGCAGCCACGACATTTCCACTTCCCGGCTAGAAATTGCCGCCGTCCGACCACCATTTCAGACGGCTTTTGCCTGAAATTCTTCTCCTCCTCCTCCTCCTAACCACCCCATCTCCAGCCCATACAACCGCTGAAAATTTTTCATAAAGGCTAGAATAAGCGGATCGAATGGCTCTATGGAGAGCTCGAGCGGTTTCTTTGACCTTGTTCGATAGGCTCCTCGGCGGCCACTTTAACGCCATCAGCGACGTCGTTTGGCAAGGCAGTTTTAAAAAAAAATTACGTTGAGCGCGCGCGCAAGGCGCAGCACAGCTGCGCAACAAGCTTCTCCTCCTCTCCTGGGACTTTCATCGAGCAGTTGGCGTGCATCCAAGAGGGCTTCAATGGAGTCCCAGGCCATTTTTCCAACCTTCCAAGGGGTCGTCCGACCCCTGTTGTCCCAACGTGGATCCACCACTGGCAGCATCACCACTACCTGTTGCACTTTCTCCACCGGTATTTCGTCATATTTCTTCATTACATCTTCCTTAACCCGAAAAACAACTCCTTGTGTTCTTTTCGTTTATTGTACAGTTGGAAAAATCATATGCAGCTCGATTTAAATTAGCTGATTGGAGCTGTTAAAATTCGTCAGTATATAATGTTGATTTTGCTTTGAACACATTGAGGACAAGATTTAAGCCAAAATGCCGTTTGATTGCTCTGAAATGTAGGAGCAAATAAAAATGAGGATTTTAATTTTCATTATTTCTTTTTGGGGAAATATGAGGGGGCAAAAACTCTAATTCTTTTATCCATTGTTGCTGTATTAAGCTTACCAAAAGATGGTTTTTATGCCTGAATGAATATGGGAGCACCCAATTTGAAAGTGTTGTTGTTGCTTGCTTTTCTACAAAGTGGATATGTCTGCTGACTTGAGCTAATTTGACCAAGAGGAGATTATAAATGAATTCTTGAACTAAGCTATATTTTCATGACCTTGTTGCTGCCAAAATGAATCTTACTGATATTGTTACACTTTCCACATATGTAGGTGGGGCAAGTAATCAGTTGTTTCACTATGATGTCAATTCACAATTTGGAAGGTGCATGCAACTTGCCGATATGCACATTCAAGCCAAAATACACAGCATCGAGATGCACCCAGGTCAAGGTGGCAAATTAGTTCGAGCACCAGGCACTTGAGATTTTGAAAGAACCCACTTCAAGGTGTCTAGTGAGACTGCCTTCAGGTGTTGAAAAATGGATTGATTCTAAGTGCCGGGCCACGATTGTTACGGTCCCCAATGAAGGAAATAAGCCGAAGAAGCTCTACAAGGCTGGGCAAAACCGGTGGTTGGGCCGCAGACCAACAGTTCGAGGAGTGGCAATGAATCCAGTAGACCATCTTCATGGTGGAGGCGAGGGTAAGAGCAAGAGTAGTGGTTCTCATGGAAAGGGTTCTCGAACACCTTGGGGCAAGCCTACAAAAGGTGGGTACAAGACTGGTCCCAACAAGCGTAGAAAATAATGTTCTATCATTCTCTTTGCTTTGACACTGCTGTGGAGTTTAGCTTTATGATGAGTTCGGATAGCAATAAAAGTCGCACTTAGATGTTACTCGTCATAAAATATTCAAGGTTCGTATAAATTTTTCCCATGTCAAGTTTCTGAAAGTGTTTGTTGTTGGATGAAGCTATGTAAGTTGCTTATTAGTTGTTTCAACTGTGTGTAAGTTGCTTATTAGTTGTTTCAACTGTGACTATCTTTTCATACATGCATTTATTACCTTAAGTATTTAGTATCAAGTATGTTTAGTGTTGATTAATTGAATCAATTTGAGCTTGCATTTGCTACAATTTACCAAGGTACTGAGTTGATCATGGACATGACATTCGTAGTTCTTTCCCTTGCGTCTGTTTTTGCAAAATCTTATTCTGTATAATATAGGAAATTGATGATAAAATTGGATGTTTATGTTCAACCTGCATTTTTGTTTTATTTTTATGTTTTGAACTTCCTAAGATGCATAAATCTTGTCGTCAGAGATATCACAGATGTTTAGTTTAGTTTTTAATGTAGGCTAATGACGACATGCTTTGAGAAGTATTAGGCACGAACGCATCAAGATATGTGATGTGTTTGGAAATCATTGGCCTTTCTTGAATTTTTTGAGGGGTTGTAGGGGTTGTACTGAGGGACTCTTGTGATGAGAAACACTTTACCTTGAGCAATTAGAATGAAAATACTCCTTATTTGATCACTCATGGTGAAAATTCACCTCATTTAATCACGCATGGTGAAAGTTTACTTATGTCTCTATAGTAATGTTTCCTAAGTCGTCAAAATGCAGTGTGTGCGCGCGCACATGTGCCTGCCTACCCACACTGAGTAGATTATATACAGAGTTGTTAGAGGAGGAGCTCTCCTACAGCAAGAGTTTTTTCGCAAAACATAATTAACTCCTCCTTTTTGCTAATGCTCACCCATGAAGAGACTTGAAATTATGCTTCATAACAGCAAATTGTATATCATCTTTGCCTAATCAAATAAGGTTTAATTCACTTGATCTTCCTTATTTTTTTAGATAAATTGACATTTGAATGGTGGTTTGAAATATAAAAATGGGATTTGAGAACAGAGCAGCCAATCAACAATCAAATTCATCTTAATAATAAGTAATCAGAATTAGGCACTAAAAGTTCATTTAAAAAGAATTAGGCACTAAAATATTGCTGAATCTTAGCCTTATATATTCGTTGGTTGATCTTGTTGTAAAAAGGAAATCCCTTGCCCTCCGTTTGGATGAGGGAAAATAACTCGGAGTGAGCATTCAACTATATCCTCGTGTTAGATCAACGTTCAAAAGATAAACCTTGTGCATGTGCATCTCTCATCACATGATACTCAAACATGGAGAGAGAGAGAACTGTGGGCCAGAAGTGTTGAACCAAAAGCATCCCCTTATTTTATTATTGAAGGACTCTTATTTTAGGGGCACCCTTTGAGCCCACTACGAATTGTTTTATAACAATTTGAATGGTTTGCTTTTCTAGTTTTCATTCATATATCATTTTTACATAAAATTAGACAAATTGAACATCATTAAAGCATCTAATTGTGACCAACAAAATACACGAACATGGTGCTTCAAGAAAACACTAAAATAACAACTATTAATTTAGGTGTCAAATGGATTCATATTCAAGTGATTTTTTTTTTCTTGGAGAGATTTTCTTTAAAGGAATACCTAAAAGATGGATGGTTTGGATTATTGAAATACAATGTGAGTAGGCCCTACAAATGTGTTATGCTTATTTGAGGGATCCCTCAACTGAATATATATATATATATATAAGCTTATTTACAGCAGTACCTCCTAACAAAATGGTCAAATCTAACATTGCCCTCGGAAGTTAAAGTGACCCACCTTGCCACCTTGACATATGTTTTACGTTTTCACTTTGCCTCTATCGTTAACTCCATTCAAAAGTCTGTTAAAATTGCTGAAATAGCAGAGATATTTGTGTAATTTCATACACATGGGCCCTTTACCCACTAATATAAGTAAGTGATGTGGCAAAGTGGAGCCTACCTCCAGCATGTAAACAATTAATAAATAAAAAAGAAATCTAAAAAAAGAAATTTTTAAAAAGAGAAAACCTAACAAAGGTGAAGGGACACCAATGTGGTGTCTTTCAAATACCTTTCTGTGTAAGGGCTTGTCAAATTGATATGTGTTTAGTTCTGATAGCAGAGATGCTTACTCTATTAGAAGGCCTTCATCAGTGTCTTGTTACTAAATGCTTTAAGAATGAACTAATGGAAGGTAATGTTTGAGCAAAATTTTGCAGGGGGAATATTCACACGTTGATTCCTTCTCTCTCCCCCTTAGCTCCTGCAAAAAAGACAGGAGTAAATAGACCACACCAGGGGGGGTGTTGGCCAAAGGCCCTCCAATGCCTAAGTCAATTAATTGGATCTTGAGAAAGATGCGACAAAGTAACGGAAAGGATGGAGGTTTTCTCTCACGGGGAGAGCCAAGTGGCTAGAGCCGTGTGTGTTTTGGAGCGTAACTATGAAGGAGAAAGAGAGAAAGTGGCGTGAGGGAGAGAGAGGTTTTGCTAGGGTTTCAGAATTTTACCTCAAGTGTGTTGTGTAGCCATGCATTTATAGACTTCCTTGTAGGTTAGGGTTTGAAGAATAATCCCTATTTTAATTAGGATTATTCTTCCCCAAAAAGATTATAGGAATTAATAAAAGAGATTTGCTGGAAATTGACTCCTTGATTAAGGAAGATATTCCTATCTTAAATTAAATAAGATTTAATTAGGATAATTATTTGACCTAAGGAATATTTCCTTTTCCACATGTGATCTTCTTATTGGTCGTCAAAATTTGTGTTCCCACAAATGTCTCCCAACTTCTGCATGGCGCTTATGAGGCATGTAGGAGACGAGAAATATTTATCAGGCTTTCTAATTGTATTTGGCTTCCTTCTGTGAGTTGAGCTCCTAATTGGAGTAGGCTTTTGACTTCTTCTTGGAGTTCAACTCTTAATTGGAATAAACTCGTGATTCCTTCTTCACCTAGGATGCCCCAACCTTTATAAATACAAGGCTTCTTTTCACTCCTCTTCAAATTGCAAACTTGTTTTCCTCTACTTTCTAGCTTGCAGGAGAGATCTTGAAGGAGTGTACTTCTTTGTTGAGGAGAGGAGTCGTCGTGCACACCAAAGTAGGTCACGCTTGGGTTTTTATTTTTCTTCAATTTTTTCTTGCGATAAGGACCAGCTGACGTGGGCCCTGTTGGTTGTCATCGTGACCATGTGGAGAGGCTGGTATGATCGACTGCAACGCCGACAGTGCTTCAGGCAGCGGTTGTTGTCGTGATTATTTTTTTGCTCTTCTCGGCTAGGATGGCTAACCTCGGTTGGCCTGTTGTTATTGTGACACTGCTCCTAGAGCTGCTGGAGCGATGAACCACAGGCAACGGTTGTTGGCGGTTGTTGTCGTGTCCCTTTTTCAATTTTTTTCATTAACTATGGTTGCATCGCATGCAAGTTCGGTGGCTCGCTAGAATGGCATGGGCCTAGCTGCGTCATGGCTCAGGCTGTGTGGGCCGATAAGCTGGTGTGGGTGCGACCAATCGCAGGGCCAGTTGAGGCTGGTTGGGCCAAGGTGGCGAGGTGGTTGTCGTCTCAGCAGCTGCTAGCTGCTAGCGGCAGTGACTGTTTTTTGTTGTTGTAATCTTCAAACTTTTTGTTGTCATTTAGTTTTACTCTTTATTTCGAGTTGTCTGAATAGAGAAATCTTCATACTTTATTTAATTTTGATGTATTTCTCTTGGTTTAATGTTATATGAAATCTTCATATAAATATCTATCCTTTTCATTTTTGTTTTTTATTTTCTGCTAGTTCTTATCTTTCACACTAGAAAAATATTGAAGTTCTCTTCATTAAGGCATAGAGAAGTGTTGAATGAATTAGCCGTTTTGTTTAAGTTGTTCTATTTTCTAGAATAAGATAAGCAGGTTGTTGCTACCTTGCTTAATAATCCAAATTGTTGAGGGATTCTTTTGTTATCTGACTTAGTCTTTTACCACGTTTAGGTTTGTTACAAAGTGGTATGCTTTTTGGTTTATCTTGCTTTGTAAGGTTATATAATAACCATTGTTTCTATTCAATAATATAGAACAATTCTCCCACTTTCAAAGGTCATCAGTAAAGAGTTCTTAATGCATTAACAAGTGGTATCAGAGCTCACTCGGGGCATGATCATAACGATTGAAGCAGCAACTTGATTTCTTGCAGTAGCAAGTAGCCATGACAACAGAAAGCAACTTTGTTCAACCAGCAATCCCTCGGCTTGATGGTCATTACGACCACTGGAGCATGCTGATGGAAAACTTTCTGAGATCAAATGAGTATTGGCATTTAGTGGAGCATGGAGTTTCAAAGCTTGCAGAGGGAGCATCTACTGCTCAAGCTAAAGAGGTGGAGGATCAAAAACTCAAGGATCTAAAGGCCATGAACTATCTGTTTCAAGCTATTGATCATTCCATTCTTGAAACTATTCTAAACAAGAATACTACTAAGGATATATGGGACTCATTGAAGCATAAGTATCAGGGAACAGAAAAGGTAAAGAGAGCACAACTTCAAGCCCTTCATAAGGAGTTCGAGATGTTACACATGAAGGGAGGAGAGTCTGTGAATGAGTATTTTGTGAAGACTCTCACAGTGGCCAATAAGATGCGTATGCATGGTGGAAAGATGGATGATGTAACTATCATAGAAAAGATTCTTTGTTCAATGACTGTCAAGTTTGACTATGTTGTTTTTCCATAGAGGAATCAAATGACATAGATAGTCTCTCGATTGATGCACTTCAAAGCAGCTTGTTGGTTCATGAACAACGCATGAATTGCCATGTGGTGGACGAATGAGCCCTACAGATTGTTCATGAAGGAACCTCAGGAGGAAGAGGTAAGGGACGTAGAGGCCATGAAAGAGGTAGGGGCATATCGAGTTATTTTGACAAGTCAACAGTTGAATGCTATCATTGTCATGAATTAGGACATTTTCGATACGAATGTCCTAAAAAGGAGAAAGAGCTTAAGTCGAATTTCATAGAAGCTGAAGACGAAATGTTGTTGATGGCTTACATGGAGTCCAAGGAATCTAAGCAATATGACATTTGGTATTTGGATTCAAGGTGCAATAATCATATGTGTGGAAACAAAGGCTTGTTTTTTGAGATTGATGAGACTTTCAAAGAACAAGTCAAGCTGGGAAATGACACAAGTTTTATTGTGGGGCAACATCAGAATTCGAATGAATGATTGTATGCAAACCATCACTGGAGTTTTCTATGTGCTTGGGCTAAAGAGTAATCTTGTAAGCATTGGTCAATTACAAAGAAGGGGCTCACAATACTCATTCAACAAAACAAGAGTAAGATTTTTCATCCAACAAAAGGTCTCATTATTCAAGCACAAATGTCATCAAACAACATGGTTGTGGCACAACAGGTATGGACACTTGAGTTTTAGAGGGCTCAACATGTTGCAGCAAAATAAAATGGTGAAGGGACTTCCTCAGCTTGAGTCTCCTACAAGGTTGTGTGAGGATTGGTTGATAAGAAAACAACACAAGGATGAGTTTCCGAAGGAAAGCACATGAAGAGCAGCACACACATTAGAGTTGGTCCATTCAGATATTTGTGGACCCATTAATCCTAGTTCAAACAGCAAGAAAATGTATTTGATTACTTTTATTGATGACTTTAGTAGGAAAACGGGGGTTTATTTTTTGAATGAGAAATAAGAGGCCTTTGATATGGTTGTAAGATTTAAGAATGTTGTTGAGAAGGAAACTGGATTAAATATAAAGTGTCTACGTATTGATCGTGGTGGTGAATTTACCTCAAATGAACTCACTAACTTTTGTGAGATGCATGGTATTCGTAGACAACTTACTATTGCCTACACCCCACAACAAAATGGGATTGCTTAGAGGAAAAATTGCACCATTATGAATATGATTCGATGCATGCTTGCTGAGAAGAAAGTTCCAAAAGCCTTTTGGCCAGGGGAAGTAAATTGGAGTGTGCATGTTCTGAATCATCGTCCAACATTCACAATGAAGAATTCAACACCACAGGGGGCTTGGAGTGGTCACAAACCATCAGTTGAGCATTTTCATGTCTTTGGAAGTTCGGCATATGCTCATGTCCCTGATCACAAAAGAAGTAAGCTTAAAGACAAGAGTATGAAGTGTGTACTACTCGAGGTAAGTGAGGAGTCTAAAGCATATAGACTTCATAATCCGATCACTAGAAAGATTTTAATCAGCCGTGATGTGAGATTTGATGAAGGGCAAGGTTGGGAGTGGGGTGAAAGCAGCAATTAAAAGGTCATTCTTGTTGATTTAGAGAACAAGGGAGGAAATGCATGCATAGAAATGGGTGCTGGTGATGATACAGAACGTGAGAATAATGATGGAGAAGATTCAAGCCCAAGTCATGTAGTAGAAGAAGTTATTGACTCTCCACCAAGAACCCGTGAAACTAGAACAAGAAGACAGCCAGCTTGGATGCAAGATTATGTTAGTGGAGATGAGTTTTCAGAAGAAGAAAGCACAAATCATTTTTCAATGTATGTGGACAATGATCTCGTGGAGTTTGAAGATGCAATCAAGGAGACAAAATGGAGGAAAGCCATGGATTTGGAAATTGAAGTCATTGAGAAAAACAATACTTGGGAACTCACTGATCTGCCTGCAAGGGAAAAATCTTTAGAATGGATATTCAAAACTAAGCTCAAGAAAGATGGGAAAATTGATAAGTACAAGGCATGACTTTTAGCAAAGGGGTATAATCAAAGATATGGAATTGACTATGGAGAAGTGTTTGCACCTGTGGCTCAATTGATAGAATTCATTTAGTCATTTCTTTAGCAGCTCAGAATGGTTGGAATATCTACCAACTTGAAGTGAAATCGGCATTTTTGCATGGAGAGCTCAATGAAGATGGCTATATTGATCAACCTCTTGGCTATGAGAAGAAGGGAAGTTTATAAACTCAAAAAGGCACTTTACGGACTTAAGCAAGCTCTTTGAGCTTGGTATAGTCGGATAGAGTATACTTCATGAAGGAGGGTTTCAAAAAGTGTACTTATGAGCATACATTGTTCATTAAAACTGATGAAGGAGGTAATTTTCTAATTGTTTGCCTTTATGTTGATGATCTTATATTTACTGGAAATAATGAACATATGTTTTCAAAGTTTTAAAAATCTATGATGGCGGAGTTTGATATGACTGACTTGGGAAGGATGAGATATTTTCTTGGAATAGAAGTTATGCAGATAACCAAAGGGATTTTTATTGGACAGAAAAAGTATGCTTATGAAGTTCTTGAGAGGTTTCAAATGAAGGATTGCAATCTAGTTCAGAATCCAATTGTTCTTGGGGTGAAGTTAGTGAAGAATTCGGGTGAAAATAAGGTGGATACTACTTTTTACAAACAGATTGTAGGTAGTCTCATGTATCTAACAGCCACTCGACCTGACTTGATGTATGTAGTTAGCCTCATTAGTAGGTACATGGAGTCACCAACAGTTTCACACCTTGAAGCTGCAAAGATAGTGCTTCGCTATGTTAAAGGAACAACTAGTTTTGGTTTGTTTTAAAAGAAGGGAAAAGCTAGGGAGTTGATTGCGTTTAGTGACAGTGTTTATGCAGGAGATTTAGATGATCGAAAGAGTACTACTAGTTATGTTTTTATCCTTAGCTCAAGAGCTATGTCTTGGTCTTTAAAGAAGCAACCGGTGGTGACACTTTCAACGACTGAAACAAAATTCATTACAGCTACAACATGTGCTTGCCAATGTTTATGGTTAAGAAGGTTGCTTGAAGAACTTTGCTGTACTCAGAAGGATCCAACTATAATTTATTGTGACAACAGTTCTGCAATCAAACTTTCAAAGAATCTTGTGCTGCATGGGAGAAGCAAGCACATAGATGTTCGATTTCATTTTCTCCATGACTTAGCAAGGGATAAGGTTATGGAGCTTAGTTATTGCCAAAGTCAAGAACAAGCAGCTAATATCTTGACTAAGCCATTGAAGGGTGAAGGCTTCAAAAAGCTGCGTGGTTTGTTGGAGTCTACAGTGATTCTATAGTAAACTGATCTTGAAGATTCAGTTTAAGGGTGGATGTTGAACAAACTAACCGTTTTGTTTAAGTTGTTCTATTTTCCAGGATAAGATAAGCAGGTTGTTGCTACCTTGCTTAATAATCCCGATTGTTGAGGGATTCTTTTGTTATCTGACTTATTCTTTTACCACGTTTAGGTTTGTTATAACATGGATTGCTTTTTGGTTTATCTTGCTTTGTAAGGTTATATAATAACCATTGTTTCTATTCAATAATACAGGACAATTCCCCCACTTTCAAAGGTGAAGAGTTCTTAATACACTAACAAGAACATATATTTGGCTAGTTCCTGAGCCAATTTAAATCAACTCAATGTTAGTGCGCATTTTACATTACATGGCACGCCTAAGCAAACAACAACACACGAACAATCCTGCGGCCAATTTTCGGGCCATGTGGATGAAAATTTCGGGGTAAACAAATAGTGTGTATAAAACTGGAAATATTTTTACTCACCATTTTAACATATTATCGCCACCATTTTTAATACTTAACACGTGTCCACATGTATAACAATTGTTAACTTTTTATTTTGTATTTATGGAATCATGATTATATATATGAACATATGTCAAGTGTTAAAAAAATTGATGAGAATAACTCCTAAAAATGCTTTCGTATAAAATGCTCTTGAATAAAATTATGGACACTTTAACCCAAGAAATGCTCTTGTATAAAATTAGGGACTGCGTTTCATTGACCTTGACTTTCACAGTGGAAGGAACTTCCATTTTGGAAGTCAGTGTTTCAGTTTCAGCACAATAACAAGTTTTCCTTCCTTTTCCATCATTCCTCAAGTGAAGGAGACCCAACTCATGGATGCGAGTTTTATACCTCTACTCATCGCCTGTTTTCTTCTGGCCTCGTCCTTCACCATTGTTCACTCTCTCTCCAAACCACCTCTTCTTGGAGTTCACCCACTCGGTAATTCTCTCCCTCTCTCTCTGTTACTCTGTGCACAAAACAAGCAGAAAATTTGAGATGGGTCTCTTAATCCCAATAGTAAGTGGGTCTGGAGAGCCATTTGAGACATACCCAGATGCTCGTTTATCATTTTCTTCTTAAATTATTGAATTGAAATGGTTTCTGTGGATGCAGATGAGCAGTACTTTGTTTCAGAGGTGATCAAGTGCAAGGACAACTCCAAGTCCTTCACCAGAGATCGCCTCAATGACAATTTCTGTGATTGTGTTGACGGAACCGACGAGCCTGGTATGGTTACTCTTTTCGTGTTTTAATCTGTGCAGCCATTAATATATTACTTTCGGTTCTTCTGATGTACAAGTTTTTGAGTTTATTTATTTTCTTTCTTTTCATAATATCTCTTGCACATGTTTCAATTTTTGTTTAGGTTTTTAATGTCATATTACTTACTGCCTATTGGGTCGCTTTGAATGTCCTGAACTCACGTCACTTGGATTAGTTGTCAGCCATTGAATTTGATTTCATGTTTTCTTGGAACCATTTGCATATAAGTTTCTGAATTGTCTTTCTTTATTTTGTTTTTTAAAATGTGAATCATAAAATCACAAAATTCATATGATTTATTTGTGTAGAAGCAGATGCATCCAGCTTCCATTTTGACAGTAAGCGAGTCGAGTCCAACCTTGAGTGATTAGTGATAATGCTAAACTTCTACTTGGGTTTTCATACATTCTGTGTTTGCATTTTGCTGAGGTTTTACCCTGGATGTTTTAGTTTTTCAGATCCCCTTGTTTGTGTCTTGGTGATTCAATTGGGCTTCTTTGTATTTTCAGGAACTTCCGCTTGTCCTGCAGGCAAATTTTATTGTAGAAATATAGGAAGTACACCACAATTCCTATTTTCATCTCGAGTTAACGACCATTTTTGTGGTAAGTATCATCTGTATGATTACCTCTTTCCTTCAATGCTCGTTCACATTACTAGTTAGGCTTTTCTTAATTAATTGTATGCTATACATGGCTCATGGAGTTAACAGCTTAATTTATACTGGGAATGTTCCCTTAAATAGGATTGAGTTGATGCCTTGCTTGGTGGGTCTGTGAATGGTATTATTAGAATTTTTTACATTTGTTTTTGGATGACTAAGATGGTGTGTTTACTTGAATTTGAATAACATCCATTGTGCAAGCCAGTTCAATGGAGGACCAAATCAGAAATGGATGGTGGAATTTCTTATGGAATGGCTCCTTGGTATGGCATGGCTGCATTCTTCAGTCCTATTGCTTCCTTATTAATATTAGGTCCTTGGTCTCCATTCAAGAAGTCTTGCTGGCCTAGTAGACAATTTGTTACACTAATACGACCAGAAAATCCATGGCAATAATCCAATTTTTCTCTATTTTTTCTGGTCTCATCATGTGTACGCTTTCTGTATATAGTCCTACTTTGTATTTTGATATATGATGCTTAAGTGTTTTCTTGTGTTGTCCACTTCCGATATCTGTTGTTATTCACCGTCTTTGTAGATTGCTGTGATGGAAGCGATGAGTATGATGGTAATGTCAATTGTCCAAACACATGCATAATGGGCGGGAATATTGAGTACAAAACTGACCATCACTTCTCAAGAGTTGGGGGTCTAGTTGGGGATCTAGGGCATGTCGGTGCAAAACAAGCCAAAAGTGGAGTTAGTTTGGATGACTTGATTCAGAAGCTTAAAGGTATTCTCTTGTTTCTGATTATGTTTTTGTATAGCTGAAATTATATGTAAACATTAGTTGACGCTTCTGTGTTTCCAGGTTTGAAGATATTAATAATCATACAAGTAGTTATTACTATTATTGTCGTGGTTTTCCGGATACTCCGTCGTCGTGCCAGATCTAAAAGAAGGCGTTACCACAAAGTAATTCAACATTTGTTATTCTGCTTTTGGTAATACTATCCACGACTTCTCCAGTTATTCTTTCATCAATACCTTACAAAAATGGGATTTTGTAATATTTTCTCAGGTTTTATACTAGCTTGATGGCTGATTTTCTCATGGGTTCCTCCAAGTATGTCTAAGGATTTCAATACATGAAGTTGACTTGCCTAGGAGGGTTTATTGTTCCTTAAAAGAGCCTCAGATTTACAAAGTTTTGGGAAGCTTCACACTGATCCAAAAGTTCTATAGCAAGAGTTTACAACTGTGCATGTACTTTTTCATCCGGCAAATGCACACTAATGGACATGAAGCTTAACACACAGTATACAAGATGCCGTAGGGGTTCCGGTCATCGATGATCCACTTGGCATAAATAAAAGTATGCTCGAGGTCGTATCAGAGCCTGTAAAATAGAAATATTCCTAATTCAAAATCTATTCTTAGGGGCAACTCTTCTTGTTTGCCTTAAACCTTGAAAGATGTTCTATTTAGGCAACGAATGATTTACACATAATGCTCTGTGGATAAAGATATGGAAAGTTTTGTAATGATCTATACATAACTTGCAACAGGCCCTTCGTTTTCGTTTTTGTCTTAAAGAAGGAATGAGTCCTGGTGTTATTAAGAATGAAGAAGAATTCGTAGTTTCCCACCTTTCAGGAAGCTTGGCTGTAGAGAAAATTAGCATCAACTTTTCTAAGTATGTGTCAAAGCTTTTGCAGTGAGGAAGGATCAAAAGCGGTTCTAAGAGTACAGAGCAAATGTTGACTGCATGTTGAGGGGATTTAATAGAGAAATTGGTTTTGAAAAACAACCAATACAATAAGCTCAGGATTTATTTGAGCAAATTACATATATACTAATAACCTTCTGAATATAATTTGTAGCATTCATACCTCACTTTGTTTGAAGAGGTAGTGTTGTTTTACCAACTAGCTCTTGGTCTAGTGGTACGTACTTCTTTTCCCGATGTTGGAAAAGGTTCCAAGTTTGAAACTCCCAACCCCTACTGATCAATTAAAAAGGAAAAAAAAAAAAAAAGTCCTTTCATTCTCTTTTTGTTAATTATTTGGAGTTCATTTTCTTACTCTTAAAATCAACCAGTAACTTTTGGTCAAATAATAATTGTTTTCACTTAGTTATGAATTCTCGATTCAACTCCTATAAATTTGAGAATAATATATATTTTTGATGAGTTTGATCACTAATTCATTACGGTGGCATAGCTTTCTAAACATCTTGTAGTTTGTAAATATATACTAGCCTCTCCGCACGCGCTTCTACGCTTGTGAGAGGTTTTTTTTATATAAAATTTAAAATTTATTTTAGAATTAAAAAAGATAATGGGTAATAGTGTTCCATAAAAATATGATTTATTATCTGATTTTTTTTTTAATTTTATTTTATTTTTAATATGAAAAAGTGTGAATTTACCATATTATATTTAAAAAAATAATAATAAAAAAATAAAAAAAACACGAAACAAAGTTGTTGGACTGCGCCCAGAGTCCACTAGCCACGGATTTCGAACCCATTTAGAATGGGCGAGCCCTAATTCGACCCGATTTGGGGTTAAACTTCAACCTGTCTCCATACCGAAATCTTTGCCAGCATTACTAAAACCATGAAGATCTTAATCAGAACTGAACATTGTGCGCATTCTAGCAGCATTAGAAATCATGAAGTAAGAAGACCAGCAAGTTCTTTGTAACCCATTTCCAGGCTTGGTGATGCTGGTATGCTCTGCTATTTGTCACTGAATGTTATTATTCATTGAATGCACGTTTACTGTTTGACAATATTCCTATGAGAGAAATGGGCTTCTTTTTTATTTTTTGTTCTCTTCTTTTTGTTAATCTTTGTGTAATCAATTTTCTTAGGCTCCGTTTGGATAGAGGTATTTGAAAGGACTAGGAGTGTGAAGGGCAGGTTATGTTAATGACATATATATTATCTTGAAATAAGTTAATGTGAGTGTGTAGGTCATTTTGAAAGTAACAATGGCATTTACAGTGGTTTTAGCTTATATTGTAGTTAGCCATGGCCCATGATTGAAATAAGAGGTAAAACGTGCTTGTAGATTAGGGGAATTGCCTATGCCAATATTATTTTGAGTACTAGTGAGCAAAGCTTTCTGAGATTCATGTACTTAACAGAGTAAGATGATGATTTACAAGTAACTTTTATATCTTAAATTGGACCCAAAATCTTCAAATTCGTTCATCAATTTTATATGCCAATGCTCTCTTTTCGATATATTTGGTAATCTTCAAATCTGTGAAAGGTTATCCAAGTTATTTGGTTCCCAGCTTTAGGTTTCATTTTGTAATCCAGATGTTAACACTTCTATGTATTTAGGTTTCATCTTCAGTATGTGAAAAGCTGACCATGTCATCGATTCTCCAGCTACCTTATGTTAACATTGTTGCAATGATCAAATTCTTCAGGTTTCCTTTCGTAATCCAGATGCTTCCAATGTCATGCAAATGTTGATGTCTTACACTCTAGAAGTACAACATGGCTATCAGAGCAGCAAAGTTTTGCAGATCCTTTCTTCCTCTACATTGTCGTCTCCTCCAATATTGTTCCATCTACTCAATCTCTTCATCACAGATGCTCCAAGAAACTATAAAAAATGCAGTTGAAGCCAAAACCTACCAGAAAATTCCTGATCTTCTCAAATCCTCTGCTCAAGCTTGCCAAAACCCGAATCCTTTCTCATTCCTTTCAACCTTTCCCCACAACCTTAGAACGCAAGTGGTTGATGAAATTTTGCAGTCTTTCATCCCCCTAAGACCTCGCTCTCGGACTCAGATTGCCTATTCCTACCTCCTGTCCTTTACACTGCAATGCTCCAATCCCTTCCCTCTTGCTCTTGCCATCCTCCAACGAACTCTTCGCTCTGGTTGCATTCCTGTCCCCCAAACCCTTCTTCTTCTCTCTTCTGCTTGGCTGAACTGCCGGAATGAATCTCACTCTGTCTCTAAGATCCTATTAGAAATGCAGTCAATTGGATATCATCCGGACAGTGGTACATGCAACTACCTTATATTGTCTTTGTGTTCTGTGGATCAGTTGAATGAGGCAGTGAAAGTCTTAATGGAAATGAGTAGGGCAGGATGTGTTCCTGATTTGGAGAGTTTTGACACGGTAATTGGTGCAATGTGCACTGTCAGAAGAACAGCTGAGGCAATAGATATGATTAAGCAAATGGTAGAGAAAGTTGGGTTGACACCAAGGCAGGGGACGATTGCAAAAGTGGCAGCAGCATTGCGAGCAAACAGAGATATATGGAGAGCAGTTGAGATGATTGAGTTCTTAGAGAGGGATGGCTACCCTGTCGGCTTTGAGAGCTATGAGTTGGTGGTTAATGGGTGCTTAGATTGTGGTGAGTATATTTTGGCGGGGAAAGTGGTGATGGGGATGACGGAGAGAGGTTTTATACCTTATATTAGGACCAGGCAGAAGGTTGTTGAGAGGTTGGCTGGTGCTGGTGAATGGAAGCTGGCTTGTTCTGTGAGGCAAAGATTTGGAGAGTTGAGGTCTTAGCTCCTTGTATTTATTCTTTGGGTCCATGGATTCGAGTTCTTTGCATCGAAGGGAGATGGTACTCAGACCATTGCCTATGTCGCACAGAAGAGCTGGCTTGTTCAATGTTGCTGTGTTCTGCAGTTCAGCTTCTTAAAAGTCTGTTGTAATTTGATGGTAAATTCATGGTGGTTAATTCTCCATACAAAGGCCCAATAGTGTTTGAGATGAAAAATTACTTCTTCTTACAACTGAACAAATTTGCAAGTTTAAACTTTTCTGGACCCAAATGCAACAGAATTTTAAATTAGCACTATAAATGTAAACAATTATCAACAAAATTTAAATAATTTATTTTTAGTTGACAGAATGAAGGTGGGATTGACAGAATAAGAAATGCTCTTCTTTTCCCATTGAAACGAAGTTTCTAATACAAAGATTTTGCTAACATCTTCAAAAGTAGTTCTCTTCTCCTTTTGAAATGACCTATGTTTTGGGTGGCCTTTGTTGTTCCTTTTTTTTAGTTTCCCTCTTTTCTTTGTATAAACCTTACTTGTTATTTATTGGAATTCCACACTTGCATATTTTACCTTGATTTTACATGAAATTACTACATAAAAGGAACTTGTCTAGCTACCTTTCTATTGTACTTCCAGAAAAGGTTAATTTCCCATCAACACTGCTCAACCCTTAACAGGGTAGCTAGCCTGCATGGCAATGCCGCAGGTACCTTTCTTATCAACTGAATCACGTGTCATTCTTATATAACCAGATTCACCCCAGTCAGGACCCCAAGAATTCTTTACAATCCAGTACTTTTTACCACTATCTTCCCCATAGCCAACCGCTGTGACCCCGTGGTTGAGATTCTTTCCACATTGGCCAGTGAAGATACCTGAAGAATAGAATTGAAAAGCATAACTGGCAGCGTCAACTGCAACAGAGACAGGTTGGTGTGCAACTGCAGCTTGGAGGCTTTTCTCACTATTGGCAGGTATGCTTTCATAACCACTTATGTTCACAGCATGGTTTTTCAAACTATCTTCATCACATATGCCATCTGATCCTTTGTAAGGATAATCCTTTTCAGTGGAGAGTCCGTTATCTTTTATGAAACTAAACGCTTTTTCCATGTATCCACCATTGCAGCCTTCATTCCCGGTTTTGACATCGCAGTCCACAAGCTCTTGTTCTGATAGTGACACCAATTTTCCAGTTTTGATTTGGTTAATGCCTTCCACAGCTGCTACTGCAGAGAATGCCCAACAACTTCCTGTGTATTGAAAGTGTAAAACTATGAGAGGTTGCTACTTAATCTGCAATATTTCCTTTTCAGCAAGCGGAACAAGAAGGTCATGTAAGTACTACCTACAAACCCAACTTTTAATAATTGTGTGTATATCATAAAGTCAAAATTGAATTTAAGGCTTGGGCGTCTTGGTGTTTACTTGGAATGTGATAGAATATACATTTTCATGGTTGAGTAATTCTAAGTAAGTTTGAACCTAAATCTAGAAAAGTACATATTTACCCTGTCTTTTTGGTTGTGTGAAGAAAGCTCAGGGATGTGTCTAAAATCAAGAAATTATATTTCCACATGTAGCATATAATAACTAATCCATCTTCTAGTGGAAAATTATTATAAGTCAAAACTGAATAAAAAAAACCATAGCAAACATCTAGTTCAGGAGCACAATAAAGGAGAGAAAAATAATGAGCATCCGTTTTTTGAATGCCTATTTCAATTTATACCACATTGGCCTTGATTCTTGATTGGAGTTACTGCACCATTCTTTCTCCAATCCACTGCAGTCGGAAGATCCTCATCCTTGTCATAACTGAACTTCGTTTTCGGATGACTCCTAGTTTGGAAACCCATGAAGGTGTTTGTAAACTCTAAGTTTGTGATATCTGCAAATTTGTTGTCAGTGAGTTTGTATGATTGATTTTGAGAATTTACGAAATCAACAAACTCAATGTTAGATTTGTAAACCCCAAAACGGTATTCCGCTTCCTCTCTATTTTTATATATCCGGCCATATTTTTGCAGCCACCTTTCGTACCTCTCCTTCATAGCTTTCGGGTCTGTCCTTAGAGGCTTGTACGTTTCGGAACATGCTGTAGATGATATACAGAAAATCCAAACCATAAAAAATGTTAAGCTAGCACGCGTCAACACCATAGATGTCTCCATGGCTCCCCTTGGAATGCTGGTGAAGAATGGGGCTATCTTATGCGTAAGATGTTTGCTTGTAGATAATCTCAAGTGCAATCTGGATGTCAAGTTTGCATTTTCTAGGTATTTTAGTTCCGGCCTTGTTTATACCACTACTACTCAAGGTAGTTCAAAAGCATTGTTTTGTTCACGTCTTTGGTGCTTATGAATTTGTTAAGGAAAGTTTGTTATATTGTAGTGATGTGTTAAATATGCTAACCTACGGACTGAATGTTGCTATTTTGTACTATTTCCGCTTACCATCTAATGTATCATTTCTTTAATCGAGATCATTCTCTGTTAGACAAATGGCACATTAGATAGCGATCGAGTTGAGATGATACAAATAGTTTTATTGTTACGGGTGTTAATACTCGTATTGTGCACCAAACCAATATTCGGTCCAAAACAACAAAAGTTGTCCCAAGGAGATTCATGTACGAGTGAAGTTAACGAGTGATTAAGCTAGGGTTCATGCAAAAGCTGCGATCATGCTAAATCTCCCAACACGTAAGGAATTGAGTGATGACATGATATTTGAATGAGAACTTGTAGTGGTGTGTTTTTCTATCTGAAGTGTAGGTAATATAAATTATTTTCCAAGTAATGTACAACAAAGTAATTACACCCTAGTAGTTGTGACTGTGTTCTTTGAGATTGTGTGCCAGTCTGTCAGAGGTTAGATGGATGGGCATGAAGTGTTTTGTAACTTGAAACAATATGGGATGGATTTCAACTTGAAACTTGTTTTAACGTAGATTCAAAGAAGAAATATAACTAGATTAAGAACTAGTTGGTTGCAGGATGGTGATTTTGTTGTTGTTATCGTGTTTTGTAACTTCAGCTTTAGCTTGTCATTTGGTTGTAGATTTGTACATTTGTAAAATGAAAACTGAATTGGAGATTCACAGATAGTTTTAAAATTTGTATATTGTTGAATAAGCCAACCAAACTAACATATCTGCCCTCTCAAGCGCCAAAAAACTCCAACCAGTGTACGGGGCGCATGAGGCGAGCCTTTCTGGGAGGTGGCTTCCACAGGCCACCAGAGAATTTCACCGAAAAATGCACGCCTTTCCCCGAGGCTTCCACATGCCACACGGAGCATTTCACCGAAAAGGCGTAGCGAGGCGCAGTCAAGGCGATCAAGACAGAACAGAATTCTTACACTTTGAACGTGGTGAGGCTTTCGCCGTACACGACGGACGGTGTATAAAACGCTTTACTTTATTATGCCTTAGCATTTTAAAGCACACCCAACCACCATTGTTTACACTCAATAACATATAAAATGAATTAAATCATGCATGACAAACTAGATTTGAGTTGTTATATCGTCCTCCATACATAACAAACTAGTTCGAACTTTCACTTATTAATTCTAAAGTAGTATATCTATATCATTAAAGTGACCTAAAGGAGGGTAAAAAGGTTTGATTTGATCACATGGCGATCTGCAAAACAAACTTTGGTTGTTATCCTCTAATCATTTGGAAGCTCTTGCTCTCCATGAAGCGAGTGGAAAATTTGTTTGGTCAAGATCTTATCTGAAGCACTTATGATCTGTTTTCAACGACCAATACTCCAACAATCATGTATAAAATGATGATTGTATACCCCAAATCAAAGAAGGATTCATCAAGGAGGGTAGCAAATTTCTTCTATGTATACACATGAGCTTTAGAAAGTCAAAAGCCCGAAGCCAAACAAACCTTATTGCAAGATAATCTATAATTTTTAGATTTCTTCTATATACACCAAGGTTGTACTATTTTCCCTTCACTATGGCTTTCTCCCATTGAGTTTCCCTAGCAAATGTTTTAATCATGCAACTTATCATCGGGGCCACTCTTGAATTTTTCAGGCCCAGGGCAAATGTGAAAAATTAGGCCCTATATATATATAATTTGTTTTTTTTTTTTCACTTAAGTGCTAGACTCACTTTTATTTTTCAATCAACATTTAACTTATTCAAATTAACTAAAAATTTAACATTCAAGAAAAATAAATTATATAAATTCAAACTTCAATATACAAAAATCTAAAATAAGACGCTACACTTGATACATTCATATCTAATGCATAAACAAGATAAATACTTGTAACAATTCAATCATTTTCTTTTCTTTTTTGACTTCAAAATTGTTGTCTTTTCAGGAATCATTGCTATTTGAAATAAGAAATAGTACAAGGAAATCCAATGAAATTTTAATACTTCAAATAATAATAAAGAAGAGAATTTTAGAAATCCCCCTCCACGACAACAAACTTAAAACTTCCAAATTTGCAATTAGTTAGAGCTTAAAAGAGTTGAAACAACCCATGTTACTTTAAAAAAAAAATTATTAAAACAATATATAATAAATATAATATACATCTTTATAAATAAAAATAAATTTGGGCCCCTCAGGACAATGACTGCTCTTGTCCAAGGCCGACACTGCTTATCATTGTTGTGTGAACATCCAAAGAGAGTGTCGTGAATGTTATTATATTGATGCCATTCAATTACATCTAATATTTATTATATTGAAAATTTATTTATTTTAAGATAAATCATCTTAGTAATATGCTTAGGGTTCTGTTTGATATATATAACGAGAGACTTGATGACCTATTTAATCACTTGGTTACCTATAAAATAAGAGTTTAATAATAAAATAAAAAATAAAATGAAAAAAACTCTCTAAATTCCCTCAAACATTTCTCTCTTGCTTATTTTGTTTATATAATTTGAAGTATATATGAAAAGTTATTGGGAGTTGTCACTGATTAGAAAGAAATACAATTGGGTGAGTCTGTATTGGAAAGTATGAACAGAACTCTCCCCCAATCATGTCATGTGCAATATGATCCATCTCACCTGCCATTGCAAGGATCACCCACTTTTGCACTTAAATACTTTGGCAAAGTCATTGTCCATGAACGTGTGTAGTGAACAGGAGCTAGCAAGATTATATGGGAAACCCATTCCCACATGCAACAAACCCCACAGATATGCTGATGATTTATACACCTGGCATTTTTACCTGACTAACTCTCAGTGCTTTTTGAATCTATGAGGCCAAGAGGAGACCATGCATCCTCTCGCGTTCCCATTTTCCTACAAAAGTTCAGTGGCATGGAGCCCAAAAAACAAAAAGGTTTAGTGGTGAGATCGACACTATTTAGGCAGATCACGTGACGTCGTGTCATTGGTCAATCAGCACGGTGAAGATCACATGCCAGCAATTCACATATCAAAATCAAGCACTGTATATAAAACTTCCAAAGGAAGATGTCAATTCTTCTTTTATTTTTATTTTTCATTTTTTTTGGTTTAGGAAATCTCAACCAAGGGAGGAAATTTATTAAATCAAGAATTGCAATGGGGGATGATACATGTAGCCTAACCTCGACACATAGAATTTAAGAAAAGAACGTCCTAAATAAAATCAGGAGGCATATGTACCCAAACCAACGAAACCTCTTTATATAAACCAAACTTGGCTAGTCTACGCGCTACACCATTAGCCTCTCTATGGACGTCTTGGAATAAGAAAGATCAGGCTTGAAGGTAATGTAATTAAGCTAACTTAGAGATCAGGCTCTGTGAATAGACCTCTCGTACAAAGTAAAGCTTATTTTGTGTCATGCATGAAAAAGACAAGTGTCGTGCTTCCCACGCTCATGCAGTAGTCTGCTGAGTGTTGACTGCTTGCATCGTTTTCGTGACAAAGCGTTTTGTTCTACTTGGTATATACGTCTAGTGCGTGCATAGACATGTAGCTAGCATTATTACAGAGGGGGGCCAGCCAAAGAGTATGTACGACCACATGATATATGTACAATTGTTTTACTACGAGGTAACTGATATGATTTTTAGTACTTGTGTAAATTGGTTAAAATAACATAAAATACTTGCAAAAATACAAGGTTATTGTAGCATAGATGCTCATGCAAGATCGTTCTCCTCAAGGACTATTTAGCAATTTATGTAAAAATAATTTCTAATTAACTACTTAAAATTAAAATATGAGAAAGATGAATATGAACTTGTTTGATACTAAAAATGAATTTTAAACAAAAACAAATACGATTCAATGGAAAAAAATTTTAAATACCAATTTATAAAAGCACTAGGGTTTCACTATCACCTAGCAATCCTATGAATTTTTACCAATTACTTATGATTTGCACATGCCACTTTGAAGGTTAGGTAGTGAAGAGCCACCAAGCACAACAAATACGTGCCAGTTCCTCAACCTTAGAAAAATCCAATAACCAAACAAGCTTTGCGCTACCTGTTTGATCAAGATCAAGTCTCTACGACTCTTGTATCAAACACAAATTTTCTTTAAACACTTTGGAGATCGAATCAGAGGATTTAATATAGAGATTGTAACCCTAAATTTCATTAATACAAATATTATTTTGTACACGTGTTCTTGTTTCATTTGTCGCAAGACTTTCATGTTTACAATTAGGTCTCGAATTCTTTCCACGAGCCACTCGATTCAATCTCAAAAGAAAAGGTTAAAGACTTAAATTCTCATGTGAAAATCTGATTCTTGCAAGGAAACAAAACAATATAAATATACATATTTTAGCATATTATCACAAAAACATAAGCAATATGGTGGTTAAGGCATTGTAGGAGTGCAATGGTAGGGGTTTGAATCCCCTTGGCGTGTGTGCTTTGTGTTTTTTTTTTTCTTTCCTTTTTCCCATATTTTCGATATTTTCGATATTATAGCGATATTTTCACAAAATATTGTTGAAGTGTGAGCGAAATTATCGACATCGATATTTTCCAATATTATCGTCGATATTATCGATAGTCATACGATATGTGTATGGATATGTTCCGAAATATCCTTGACTTGAAAAAACAATAATATCCTTGATATTTCGTCAATATTATCAATATTGTAGACCATGGTTAAGGGGTCTTCGGTACTAGTATAAAAGGCAATGCAAAGGGGTTGGATGTCCTTTTT